ACGCAAATATTAATAAATGTGAAAGTTTGTGTGTTTGTTTGTTTGTTTGTGTGTTTGAAGTTCAATCACGCATTAACTACTGGACGGATTGGGCTGAAATTTGGCATGATGATAGCTCACATTCCCGATTAACATATAGGCATATTCTTATCTCAAAAGTCCTTTCGGGCTCCGCCCCAGTGGCTCTGCAGTTCCCCATGTTAACCTTAATCAGTACTCATATTTAAAGGGGATTTAGTCAGCTGTTTCAACTAAAAAAGCTGGTTCTATGATATGCAAAGCATTAAAAAGTTATAAGATTTACCAACAGGGTGCAGCACTATTATTTTTTTGCATTTATGAAAACAGCTAATTTCAACTAAGCAGCAACAAAAAACTTTGATACGCTATGAGAACTGTCGAAGTAGAACTGTTTACAGTTATATTTATGTTTTTAATTTCATGAATAATTGGTGATTTTTTGCAAAGTTTTAATAATTTGTTTCTCTATTGTTTAGGTGAAGTGGTAGAACATTATGGCTATGGTATATGTGTAATACTATAGTATAGGCTACCGTAAATTTAAAGAAGCAAATTTTATCAAATTGTTTCCTCCCCCATTGCAAGCGCAAAGCTCGAGTATAACTACAATAAGCATTATATACATATATTATATGCCAACCCCGTACGAAGGACGAGTATTCTGCTAGTTTATCTATACAGTTTAACAATAGCTTTTACGATAATCTCAAAAATAGGGTAGTTTGGGCTTTATATATGGATTTCCCATACCCCATGTACTTATTTAACCTCGTTGTGTATAAATGGAACAAAATATAAATCACCTGAAATAAAACCAAATTTAAGATTTTCTAGAGTTTTTGTTTCAGTTTGGAGGAGCGGCTGGAGCGGCGGGCCCGGACGACCGAAATAGCGCTCTGGATTATGAAGTCGTGCAAAAAACGAACAAATAACACCGCCACCACATCGTTATTGTTGAATAACAATAACAAACTGGAAATGTGCCAATGTAACACCATTGACGATGGATGTTGAAGATATCCCATTTACAAGGGCCAGCTGTAACATTGACTTTGGATATTGCAAGAGTGTTTAACCATTGACTATTGGATACTGAAGTATCCAAAGTTGTATTGACAGTCAAAGGTTTAACCTAAAAAGGTGTTCAGTGTTTACCTTAATTCAATGTAAACGAATTGATCGTCACATTCTACTATTTAATGTTCTGCTATTGAAGTTAATTTCTTACTTAATTTGTTCATATCTATCTATATATTAATAGGCAAGCATGTTTCTTTAAAACCTTTTTTCTCAGCTCAAGTGCATCGTAGGGAAAATCTACGCATACTGTTGGAAAGCTATTTTCCTGTAGGTGTGCAGAATCCCTTTATAAATTTAAATAGGCTCAAAGATAAGCGCGAAAAATGAGTTTAAAAATTTGAAAAAATTTACATGGATCTTATGCGTTGCCATGCTGGTGACAAAATAACAACGAAATATAAACAGAAAATCAAAACAAATGGAAGAAACTCCAATCACATGTTTTATTTACAGTGTGGGGTGAAACATTAACATAAGTGAGTACATTACATATTTTTGGTCGAGTTTCGACCACTGGACATTACTCGTTATGATTGTTTCATACTACGATAGTAAATTAAGAAGACGCTATGTTATAGGCCTACAGTAAGTTGTCCTTTTTAAATGACTTTGTTCATTTACATTTACAACTTACTTGCAAATAAGCTGAGTGTTTTTTGATCAAACAGATTCTGATTTTATTTCCTTGTTCAGTTCCTGAAGAATGTATCAGAAAAAGTATAGAAAGCTACATACATAAAATGCACCAAAAATATTATAGTGTTAGACCTACACGTAAGGTGTGTCTGTACCTAACCATCTGTCAGTATTCAATTGATTTTAATTTAAAACATATGTTAGCAATTATTGTTAACTACATATTTACATTCTTGTTTACCTTTTTCTTTCTTTTGATGTTGTAATTTTTGTCCATACAATAAATTCTCTAAAATGTTAATTATTATTAATCATTGTACATCACCACCAACCACATAGGTATTGAGAATTTGTAAAAATCCAAAAGAATATTAACGAACAGATTTCCATCAATTTCAAATAAAGTTTTTTAATTTTTTATATAAAAACAAATATCGACGAACTGAAAAGGAGATTGATTCGGAAGAAGAAAAGAAATTAATTTCCAAACTAATGAAACATATTGCGCTGAAGTTGGTGGAATAAAAAATTATATAAACGGCCAATACACTTTAAATCTTTTAGCCGTTCTCGCTTCATGCCAAACACCCTTGCATTTTAGTTTATTAAAAATATATATTGTGGTTTAAATTTCTAATTACAAAGCTACTTCCCTGTTGAAACTTTAACCTCTTGACACCTCAAACCCGGGGTATGACCAACACCTCTTAAACAGGGCTCTTCACAAGACGGGGGGGGGTATAAAGAGGGGGGGTCATATCGCCCCCTCCCCCTTAAATTGATAACTGCTGAGTCTGTTAACTCAAGAGGACTTATCTTGTTGCTCGACCTACCCTTCAAACTACCTGCCTTAACGACTTTTACAACGATTAACATGCGAAAGTTAGGTTGTTCAAAATGTGCTTTTTGCAGATTAACGCTTTTTAGTTAACAACCAAAACAGTTATTATAGTTACGGTGTGCATGCGAATTTGTTGATACAATTAGTTAATCACTAATTGGGGGTAGGGAGGGGACATTTTTTCGTTTCGAAGAATCTAACCCCAATGGGTTATATATAGGAAAAATAATTAATGACAATCAAAATAGGGATTATAATGACAATTGTGATTACTCTCATAATTGGTGCGGAACTTATAAAGAAAAGCAGGGGATGCTTGGGTGCAGATTAAAAATTAACTGTACTGATGGGCGCGAACCAAGGGTTGCTACCGAGGGTTGCCGCCTTAGGTTAGGGAAAAATCGGGACATAGCCCCTTTCCCACCGAATTAGCATAGGCTTATATACGGGCATAAGGAACCAAAATCGGGACTGTCCCTGAAGAATCGGGACGGGTGACAACCCTGCAACCAACTGAGCCAATGACATCAAACATCAAAATGCATTGTTGGCTTTTGTAAAAATAGTAAACTAGCTTTTAGTGTGATGCCCATCTATACACAAAATGTAACAATACCACAAATATTTAAATCAACTGTTTCTAACTCACAGTTTACTAACAAAATAATAAGTTCATAATTTAAAATACAAATTAACTTGATTTTAAGACTACACTATTAAACTTGTGTTAGGAAGCAATCAGCACTGGACGTAGCCCAGCCCTCATTCTCCATTAGGAAGGGATCTTTGTCCAAAGCCACCGTTCCATGCGTTGTACTTTCTCTCTTCCTCCCTAGACACTGGGCTAATTATTGTCGATATTAACTCCTTTCTCACTTTATTGTCTTCAACTAAATTACATTAAAAACCTGTAATTTTCTATCTAAGGATGTTGAAAATCTTTGTTGTTATTGTTTATGGTATTATGTGAATGGAATTATCCATTTTGAGATAAAAAATATCGCATTTATCTTCAGACCTTTTAGAAACCACAAACAAATTAAATACATAATAATATTGAAACAAAAATAGTGATCGTAGCTAAATCAGCTATGCATTTGAATTCGAATATAAATAAATCATTGCTCCATTGATTGTACCACGAACTTTATATGCTGAATGCCAACCCCCTAATCTTTTTGGAATACCTGTTTTATGTGAATTTCATTTCTGGTATAACAGAGAACAGAGTGATGTACAAACAATCCAAAATGACAAACAATGTAGAAACAAACAATCAATAAAATTTCATTTCCTTTTACTCGATTTGCATGGAGTTTTATGAAAGGAATTCGTGTCGTAATTAACTAACTGCTTAATTAACAAGTTCTTACAGTTATACAATTATTTGAAGGGGACCACCTGAAGTTGATTTCCTAAAAATATTACAGATTGTAACGTTTCCTGAGTCTTAAATTCACTTTTAAATTGACTGGTTTAGTTAATTCATCAAAGATTAATATTATTACAGCCTAAATTAGTGATGAATACGATTGCGTATGTTAGCTTCAATAAGAATTGAATTTGTTTTAATTGAACTTAAGGGTGCGCTCTACCCGTCTGGCGCGCGCAAATGTAAGGGGTTAAGTTCTTTCTGTTTGTAGCCCCAATCGTGAACCGATTAAAAAGATCTTGGTGTCATATTTTTCGTTAAATGTTATTGTAGTTTCCCGTTTTTTAAATTTTGATAATTTAAAATTTTTTAAAGAATTTAAATACGCAATCGTTTTGTAAACACTACATTATTAATAGTGAATATATAGAGTTATTTTTCGGGAACAATATTTTGAAAGGCATTAAAATTTATTTTTTAATATCACAATCTCTCCCCCCCTCACCTAAGTTTTACATTTATTTTGATTGATTTTGATAAATAATGAATCATTTATACACAAACGAGAGCTCGCCCCTAGTCGAAAACTCGGCCAAAAGTATTATTTTGAAAACTTCTCTGTTTTCACCCCACGATGTAAATAAAACATGTGATTGGAATTTCTTCCATTTGTTTTGATCTTTGTTTATATATAGTTGTTGTTTCATCACCAACATGAGTAACCCATTATAATGAAACCAATGAAATTGTTTATTCTTTTTTGTGCTTATTTTTTTAGCATATTTTAATTTATAAAGGGATTCTGTAAATCTACACGAAAATATCTTTCATTCGGTACCAATCGCGTGTAATTCGGTCCATTAGTATGGTCAATTTAGCTGTCATAAGTTTTTCAAAAGTTTTTTAGTATTAAGTTTCAAAACACTACACTTATTAGTCAATACCATCGAGGTTTTCCAGAAACAAAATTTTGCAAGGTATTAAAAATAAACTGCGTAAAAAGTATGGCAAGCGGTTTTTTCTATTTTTAACAACAAACAAAAAAGTTACCTGAAAGTTTGAGAAGTAAACGTCAGCTCGGCGCACTTCCCCGCACAAGACTGTCCGGCTATACTTAGCTCCTCCCCCCTCCCCCACCCAAAACACTTCGGTGCAAACTCCTTCACTTCTGCTTCTGTATGATTTCATTAACCCCCCCCCCCCTACATTCGTCTTGTTGGTGCATCTTATCATAAATCTACTTCATTTACACATCGTTTCCTCTTCCGGCCGCGTTTTGAACCTTGGTTGATATTTGAGGCTTTGGCTACCGGACCGGTAGACGCGTGCGTGGTGCGTAGAATATTTTGGGTTTTCAAAGTTAGGCTTTTCGGTTGTTTTAGTCAATTTTGTGTTGAGTTCTCGGTGGAAATTTAAGGTGTAAGTCTTGTCCAAACACTTAATTACTCCACTAAGACATAGATGTACTCTAAGCTGAGTATGATGAACATTGACGGATTGACCAGTCAATATGAATGAGGAGTGAGACAATCTAGCTTGGCTGCTGACTAAGATCAAGATCAGCTGTTTCTTCTGCCAAGTCCATCCGTTTTTCCATAAATTGCCCTTTAAGGTCATAATTGCTTTCCAAAGGGAACTTTCCACATACAAAAATACCTCAGCTGTTCTTATTTGTATGTCATTCTTTCAATTTATTAGGGCCTACCTTATTAAAATCTGGTGTGATTATTTGTTTGTAATGCTGTATTCTGTTTTGTTTATTTCAGCTTAACTTTTATCAATAGTTTTTTTATAATACTTATGAAGTCAAACGGGTTGAAGCCCGTGGGTAACAGCTAGTTTTATTTAAATCCCAATGATCAGGAACAGCTGAGTCCAGTTTCGAACCATGCAACCATCATACTTCGATTTATGTGATCGTTGTATGAACCCTTCAACCCAACCACACTTCGTTAATAACTTTCGAGAAAACGCCCCTTTTTCAGGATAGAACCGGCGACCTTCTAAATTAAGAGGCAAGCACTATAACCATTCGGCTACCCAGCTGTCACCCAAGACTCCTCTTCTTCACGGACCATGCTTTGCAGGTTTCATACAAATAATAAATTGTATTTCCTATTTCAACAAATTCTGATGCCTTTATGTTTTATATTCATACGACACCATCAGAGTAGGTTATATACATCGATGGAGTGTGTATTTAAAGTGGAAATGGATGTTGTACAAATGAGATGACAGCTATAAGCTCAGTGGGTTCTTTGGTCAGGAGCATTTTATTGAACGCCCAATAATTTAAAGCCCAATAATCTGCTGGGTCCATCGAGTGTTACACCATCAAAAAGCTACTGACATTTTTCAGGATAAACCCTGCGACCTCATTGCTAGACGATCTATATATTCTACCTGGATGCGCAATAAAATGAAAATGTTATTCTATGTGTTAGACCTTTTACGTTTTTTACATACACTATTTTGTTACTTGACGTTTTTGGTTGTAATGAAACAATATGACCCAATAGAATGTAACTTTTGCAAATGAAATCGCAAACAACGCATTTTGGTGGTCTATGATACAGTTTTGTCACGAAGTTGATTGTATTGATAGGAGGATTGGCGTGAAATGTGACAATCATTTCGTAGATAAGATCAACACGGGCGTATTACATGCTTTGCTACCTTCTGTCGTGATCAGTTGCAGTCGTAGTTGCGGTTGGTGATGTGATTTGGTTCTCGCCAATTTAAAACACCAACACAAGTGAGTACGCTTCTTAAATCACAAGTTTAAAGTCGTCTTTCGTAGGTGTATTCTGTTTACAACGTTACATGTATTCGCAAAAAACTTCTCTTGTCTGCAACCTCAAAGTCAGCTGAGTAGGTTAGTGCTCACCTCAATCAAAAGGTCGCCGATTCGATCCATAAAACGCCATTTTATGGTTCTAAACTGGACTTAGTTATCTGTGATATTGGGATTTGAATGAATTATCCAAACAGATTATCGTATTCAGTAACAAAGCTTCAAATATTATCAACTATTCTACATCCATTCTCTTTCATATTTAGCTTAAAATAGGTACTTGGATGAACGACAAGTCTTTAAAGTGACGAAACTATAAAAATCCTACTACGTAATATTATAAATGAGAAAGTTTGGATGTAGGCCTATGTATGGATGTATGTTTGTGACAAGTGAACACGAAAAATACTGGTCGGATTGGGCTGAAATTTGGCATGATGATAGCTCACATTCCCGATTAACATATAGGCATATTCTTATTTCAAAAATCCTTTCGGGCTCCGCCCCAGTGGCTCTGGAGTTTCCCATGTTAACCTTATGAGAAATGGAATTATTGAATCTTAACAGCTGTTTCAATTAAACAAGTTGGTTCTGTTCTATGATGTTCAATAGCATTAAAGATTCCCGATTAACATATAGGCATATTCTTATTTCAAAAATCCTTTCGGGCTCCGCCCCAGGGGCTCTGGAGTTTCCCATGTTAACCTTATGAGAAATGGAATTATTGAATCTTAACAGCTGTTTCAATTAAACAAGTTGGTTCTGTTCTATGATGTTCAATAGCATTAAAGTTACAAGGATAACCAACAGGGTGCAGCACTATTATTTCTTTTACATTTATGACAACAGCTAATTTGCAACCAAAAGGTGAGTGAGCGTAGCGAACGAACTTCAACCTGGAGGCGAGTTAGCGTAGCGAACGAGCTAACCTGAAGGCAAGTGAGCGCAGCGAACGAGCTCCAACCTAAAGGTGAGTGAGCGTAGCGAACGAGCTCCAACCTAAAGGTGAGTGAGCGTAGCGAACAAACTTCAACCAGGGGCCCATTTCATAATAAACTACAAGTTACAACTTGTAACTTGTAATTTCCATTAGATTTGCATTGGGCGATCAGCTGATTTACTAATAATATTAGTTTGTACTTTATTATGAAATGGGCCCCAGGACGTGATTGAGCCATGCGAACGAGATAATCTTGAAAATTAAGAAGTTTAACGTGGCAAAGCCCGCGGGTTACAGCTAGTAGTAAAATAAAGGTATAGCTCCAAAATTCAAAAAAATTAAACAAAAATCGTGACAAACATTCAGTTCAACCGAATTTTTACTTGAATTGAATTTTAAAGAGGGAGTTTAATAGCTTCATTTCATAATACTGTAGCATGGATTTTGCTTTTCATCAATTCACGCCAGTGATAAAACATCTAAATTTAAAGACATTTTGTAAAAGTAAGGTTAGAGCTAACAAGTCTGCTACATGAATTAACTTCTACAAGATTAAATAACGATTAAAATAAGATATATTTTAAGTAACACCACTGAATTATGTAGCTTAAGAAAATACTGTAAAATTTGTACAAACACTTGATCAAACTCAGTACAGTACTACAGTAGGCCTACACAATCCGTCAAAACTCTTGTACTCAAGTACAGTGAAGAGCGACTGAATGACAGTGGCGACCGTATCTTCACATACCTGTAAGACAAGCAGTAGCTCAGCAGTTGAAGGCTTCAAATGAGGAAACTGTAAAAAATACAAATAGTGCATATTTAATACGTGATTAATGAGGTGAATATCTTAAATGAAGTAAACGTTATTCCTTATAGATGTATCAGAATTATAGATGAGCTTTACACAAAAATAAAGAATATTTGAATCTAGCACTTGAGGTTTTCCTATATCATAACAAAATTAAAACAAAAATATCTTAAATATGTTTTTCTTCTAATAGTTTATGGAAAAAAAATTGAATGAAGTAATTTTTCTCCTGCTTAGTATAGGCCTAATAATGTGTAACATTCAGTTCATAGAGACGGCAACAGACATACTTGTGTAATACAAAATTATATTATTTGTTGTAGAAATATGATTTATCTTCCTTCTTTTTGAATTAGATCATGTATGTATTTGTAATTTGTAGCAATCACAGTAGGCATTGGCCGTATATCTATGAGAATTTATTGATTGTAAAAATGGTGATGCTGTACCATAAATAATAAATAAACAAATAATAGAGAATAGAGGAATCAGTAAGTAAATATAAAATATAAAATCATATCTAATTCACTCACATTCTGAGCTGGAATGTTAGTTTTGATACTGAAGAACAGTTGTTTCTCAGCCACGACAATTTATTAAGAGCCCAATGATCATAAACAACTGGGTCTAGCTTTGAACTACCACAACAATGTTCCTGAAGTTTTTCTACAGATTGAGCCAGTGACTTTCTGATTGCTAGGTGAGCATTGACCATCCAGTTTCCTAAATTGATACAGAGATTCTAAAGAGAAAGGCACGTCTAGTTCACATTTTACCTTGTTCTCATTAGGAGACATGAAACGAAGACCATTAAGGCAGAAAACAGAGGAGCCTTGGGGATTGCTGAAGACCAGCTGGAAATACCAGACAGGGGAGTTCTTCAACAAAAGCACTCTTCATGGAGTCAGATACATCGCAGAAAAGGACAGACCCTTCTGTGAACGGTGAGGAATATAAGCATAGTAAATTATTAAACCTTATTATCATAGTTGACGTGTGCTACAAAGTATGTGCAGTGATTACAATTTTTTCCGTACATTTCCAATAGTTATCTTGAATTTAAAACATTTACATTATTTTTTAAGAATAATTTTCATTGTCACAATACACATACTATATTATTTTTTTGGAATAATACCTACACCTTAATATCTTCAATGATGCTGAATCATCATTTTCTCAAAGAATGTGTGAGTTAATAAATCAGACTTTTGAGATTCCTTTTAGCTTTGTTGCTAGTGAAAACCAGCTAATATAGACCAGGGTTATTTGCTAAAAGACCACCATTGAACCTTTAAATGAATTCTGGACCATCATTGTGAACCCCTCAAAATATTAAAATATATATTAATAAAATAATATCATTCAAATATATATTACTTCCTCTGATGTTATCTTGGTTTAACACGTAGTTTCACCTACAATCATTGACTAAATAGTCAAAGCTACAATTCAAAAAATATTTCTTGTTTTCCTAGCGTTGTTAATATTTTTTGTTTCCCTAGTCCAAAAGCAGAAAACCCTCTGCTATCCAGGCACTTTG